TGAACATGGAGGAAAATGTGCAACAATGGATGAATGGAAATCCAAGTTCTCTATAAACTTTGATTAAAATCTTAAAAAAAAAAAAAGAACTGCCATTGACAAATGTACTGTTTTAATCTGTGTTTCTCCAGAAGATGAGAGAAACCACAAACATTTGGAGATCAACATGAGGGGGACTGATTATACAGATATTAAACAGTTCTAATTCATTTGAAGAGATGCAATAAAAAAAATCAATAGTACATAAAAAAGTAGAATTTCTAATTTTCTCTTAAGGACTTATTATTGCAATAACTAATATTTCATAAAAAAATTCAACAAAGCTTATTTCAACACAACTGTTGTAGATGTTATCAAAACAAACATATGAAGAATTATTTTTAAAATATAAATTATTTTAACTAAAAAATACATTAATGTCAAGTTTGACTGAATTCAGAGTAAATTTTTGTTGTTGTTGTTGTTATGTGCTGTTAAGTCGCTTGCGACTCATAGCGACCCTATGTACAACAGCCCTAAACCCTGCTCTATCCTGTGCCAATCGCACTGCCTCTGACACACCCATCCCGATTACCTCAGTCACTGAATCAATGCACCTCATAGAGGATCTTCCCCTCTTGCGCCGTCCCTCCACCCTCCCAAGCATAATGTCCTTCTCCAAGGACCAGTCTCTCCTTACAACATGTCCAAAGTATGTCAGACAAAGCCACAGAATCCTTGCCTCCAAGGAGCAGTCTGGTTTAACCCTCTCCAGGATGAATCTGTTTGTTTTCTTGGCAGTCCATGGTACATTCAGTACTCTTCTCCAGCATCACAGCTCAAAGACATCAATTCTCCTTCTATCCTTCCTAGTCATTGTCCAACTCTCTGATGCATAACAAGTGAAGACCATAGTCTGTGTCAGACTCACCTTAGTCTCCAGAGTGACACCATTGCTCTTCAGTACTTTGGAGAGGTCCCTAACAACAGACTTTACCATCACAATACATTTTTTTTAATTTCCTGGCTAGTGGTGCCAAGAGTGTTGACCGTGGAGCCAAGCAGACTAAAGTTGTTAACAATCTCAATCTCTTCAACATCCATCCTGATGCTACCAATTGGTCCAGTGGTGAGAATCTTTGTCTTCTTGACATTGAGCCTCAATCCATATTGAAGGCTGCAGTCCTTGACCCTCTGCAGCAAGCATAAATGTACCTTATTTTATTATTTGGTGGGTGTGTCTCCAGCAGAGCATCTGGTGGATTCGAACCATGCACCCCCGGGATGGCAGTGCAGCTTCTTGCCACTAGGCCACCAGAGCTCACCCAGAGTAAATTTTTCAGAATGAATTTTCCAGGGTCCAGAGATGGTGATGAGACAGTGTCTCATGAGCAATCATGGTTTGGGTTTCATTCCCGGTCTCAGGCAGAAGGAATTTTCTTAATCCTTGGGCACACCATTGATAGCTGACCCTCCAGTAGGATTTCGAGGCTGTAAATTACACCAAGGCGATGGCTCATCTTTCTCCCTCTGAATCCCTGATGGATGCTGCCTTTGTGTTAGCAGCACACCTCTCCGTGAACTAGGCCACCAAAGCTCCCTTTTATTATATGAAGAAACCTGTTATTAAAATGTGAGGCAGAACTAATAAACATGCTTTCTGTGTCAGAGACCCACGTTTGATTTTTACAGGATAAAAAATGAGACATCTTGTGCCAGAGGCAAAGAAGTGCAGAATGATAAAACCTAAATCCTAAGAGAGCTCTGGTAGCCTAGTGGCAAGAAGCTATACTACAATCCCAGATGTGCCTGGTTCGAATCCACCAGATGCTCTGCTAAAGAAGCAGGGACAATTTCCTCCTGTACCTGTCAGATCTGATTTGATAGTACAATGCACAAAAAATAATAAAATAAAAAAACATTTAAATAAAAAACTAAATCCTAACTCACTGACAATTCCAACCTGCAGTGACCTTCCATCACGTTCCCACAGAGGATACTGCCTATCCTTCTCCTGTGAGGTAGCTGGTGGGTTCCAACCACTAACCTTTCAGTTGGCAGCGCAACACAGGGTCATTATTTAAAGGGAACTTCATCTGGCCAAGTTTGAGAAAATTGATGGCCAGAAAAAATAATGACAGCGATGCAATACTTTCTATGAATAAAAGCTCACCCTATTCCAGTATAAAATAAGCTTTAATAAAAAGTTTGAAACTATTCTCTAAGGAAGTCCACCCGCAGCACAGACCTCAGTGAAGAACTACAGATTTCCACAATCAAAATTTATTAAAACTGTGGATGGAAGGTTATCATGGCCAAGAGCGAAGAGAAATAATAAACAAAAGGAATTGTATTTCAAAAGACATCAGAACAAGACAGAGTTTGGGAAGAGATATTCACAATCCAAATATCAAACCAAGGATTTTCAACCAGACTACAGAAAGAATAACAAACCAATAGGGAAAAGTCAAATAATCCAAATTAAATGCAAACAAAAAAGCCCCAAATATGAGCTAAATATCCCAACTGGCACTTTACAAAGATAGTCAAGATTTCCTTCAGAAGTTAACCTGCAGAAGACTGCAGCAATTCTCAAGCGTGATACTATTAACTAAGAGAGAGGGCTCACGGGAGAGCCGGTGAACTGGGTTTTATAATTAGAGAATATTGTTATTGTAACATGCCTTTGAGTCTGAACCAACTCACAGCTGACTCTCCAGGGGGTTTTCGGAGGCAGTAAATCACACAGGAGGAGAATGCTCACCTTTCTCCCATGGAGCAGCTGATGGATTTGAACATGCCTTTTGGTTGGCAACATAGCTCCTTACTCACTAGGACACAAGAGATCCCTACATATGAAACAGGAGATGTTTATAGGTTCAGCCAAGTAGAAGTCCAAAAGCCATGTATATAAGAAATTGAGGCCAGTTTAAAAGTACACTGCCCTGTGTCATCCACTAGAAAGTGGAAGAGCTGGAAATCAAAGCCCTTCTGGCAACTGATGCAGTGTCATTAAAACCAACTCTGCTAAAATCGATCACAGAAATGCTCTAAGAGCACAGACAATGAAAAGGGGCAACACATGATATTACAATGTACGCAGATAAGGATGTGTTCCACATGGTGGCTGAAGTCCTTTATTTGGTTTAGTGTAAAAATGGAGATTGCTACCAAAGACTCTTTAAACCTAAATAATAAGATGTGAATAAAAGGAAAACTCCATTATGCTGCAAATTTGTTCCCTTCTAAAGGATACATCCAGAACTATGAGGTCATCCTTCAGAGCCAGAACAGAATTACAAACACACTGGCTGCTGGAGTTGACATTGATACAACTGATGTGTGTGAAACGGGAAGCAAGATGTGTGCAAGGTGAAATGTATGCAAGGAATGAATATTTGTGGCATGCTGGCTAGGACCAGCAAAGGGGAACCCGACTGGATAGCCATTTCAATAATGTGAATAATGATCCTGATGCAATGACTTATAATGATACTAATGTGGCATCAAGATTGGAGGAAGACTCATCAGCAACCTGTTATGCAGATGACACAACCTTTCTAAAACTGAGGAGGGCCTGAAGCATTTGTTGCAGATGGTCTACAAAATGGATTGAAGCTCAACATCAAGAAAACAAAGATTCTCACCGCTGGGCCAATTGGCAGCATCATGATGGATGGTGAAGAGATTGAAACTGTTAACAATTTTGGTTTGCTTGGCTCTACGATCAACATTCTTGGCACCAGCAGTTAGGAAATCAAAAGACAAATTGCATTAGGAAAATCTTGCTGTCAGGGATCTCTTCAGAGTGTTAAAGAGCAATGATGTCAGTATACAGACTAAAGTTAATCTAAACCAGGCCATGGTCTTTGTAATTACCTGTTATGCATCAGAGAACTGGACAATGACCAAAAAGGACAGAAAAAGTTGTGGTGCAGAAGACTACTGAACATACCATGAACTGCCAAGAGAACTAACAAGTCTGTTCTGGAGGCAAGGATTTTGAAGCTCCAGCTCACATACTTTGGGCATGTTGCCAGGAGGGACCAGTCCTTGGAAAAGGACATCATGCTTGGAAGGATGGAGGGACAGCACAGGAGAGGCAGACCCAGGATGAGATTCACGGAAACAGTAACTGGGTTAATGGGACAGGTGTGTCGGAGACAGTGAGATTGGCCTAGGATAGAGCAAGGTTCAAAGCTATTGTGCATAGAGCTGCTATGAGTTGCAGGTGACTTGATGGCATATAACAACAATCATATCAAACAACTGCAGTATGGGGACTCAGACTTCACTGTAGACTGGTTTAGAAGGTACTAGGTTCCTTACAGAAAACCAGAGAATCATCAAAACAACTGTGAGATATCATCTCACCCCAGTCAGAATAGCAAAATTTAAGAGAATAGCAAGCAACAAATGCTGTCGAGGTTGTGGAGAAACTGGAATCCTTATTCACTGTTGGTGGGAGTGTAAAATGGTGCAACCACTGTGGAAGGTGGTATGGCGCTTTCTCAAGAAGTTGCAAATAAAAATACCATTTGACCCAGCAATTCCACTACTGGGAATATATCCCAAAGAGACCATAACTGACATCCAAGCAGATATATGCACAACCATGTTTATCGCAGCTCTGTTCACAATAGCAAGGAGTTGGAAACAACCCAGGTGCCCATCAACAAACGAATGGAATACTACGCTGCATTAAAAAAACAAGGAACTCAAGCAATATTATTCAAAATGGGTGGGCCTGGAGGACATTATGCTGAGTGAAATAACTCAGTCGCAAAAGGACAAATATTGCATGATGCCACTGCTGTAAAATGGGACTGATATCAGGGTGGGGGTAAGACTGAGAAAAACTGGATAAATTGTGTATACTGCACTGAAACAGATGAGGGACTGAAGCATTTAAAAGCGATGTATGATAGGGTATTATGGTTATCACAAGAGTCCACAATTAAGGTTACATAGTGGAATGTACTTGGGGCGGTGGGAGGGGTGCAGGGGGATTGTGTACCAGGGAGGGAGTGTTTCTTTTACTTTTGAAAGAGAGGAGCGAACTGGGGAGGGGAGGGAGGCCTGGGTGGGGAGAGAAGTGCAGCAGTGAATGAGTGGAAATCCAAAGTCTCTGTAGATGCTCATTAAAATTATTAAAAAAAAAACACACAAAAAAAACCAGAATCAGTTTGCTTTCAATACAGAATTAAAAGGTAAGAATTTTGCCACTGATATTATTAAAAGCACTGATGAACCTTGGAAAGCACTGTGGCTAAAAACACAGATGGAAAAAAATCAGGTGCATAAAAGCTGCAGTGTCAGAGAGCCCCTTCAAGTGTAACTCCACACTGTCTAAGCCACTGTGGCTGCTCTACCCTGTGAAGCTGCCTGAACACCACCAACAGGTGTGATAAATGGCTCCATTACCAGGAAAACCAATGATATTCCCTGGAATGCAAGCTGAAACTGCTGCATTTTCTTCCTCTAGAAGAATGACATGCAAAGGTAGCAGCTTTTCCAAGTTTTAAATGTATAAAATTACAATAAATTCTGCTGTGACAAATGTGATATATTCATGTTGTCTATCTAAAAGTATTTTTCATATCTCAGCTACAATCACCTGGTACATACTTAAATATCAAGTGGCTATAATTTGGAAAAACTCTAGTCATTTGTGAGTACAAGAGAAGCACCAATGTGTATTATGTGCTAGGAAAGAAAGTTATTTTGCTGGGGGGAAAAAAAGAAAACTTAAGCAATACGTAAACACATGGTGAAAGAGTAGGTTATTGCTACCATTAGCAAAATTAAATTCACATTAAGATACTACTCCACTCCTATCAGCACGGCTAAAATTAAAAAGATTCACAGTGCTAGGTGCTGGTAGGAATGAAGAAGAATTAAAACACTCATGCACTCCCAAAGCAATTACAAATTAGTTCATCAATTCTGGTAAACTGTCTACCAATTCAGTAAGTTATTTTATAGTTTGTTTTACCACTTTATGTTGTTTTGAATAAACAGATTTTATAATTTTTAATATATTCAGATATGTCAATCCTTTCTTTAATGTTTGGTAACTTTTGTTTCCAAAGTCAGTAAAAATATGTATCTCTATGTGTTTCTAGATATTTCAAGTTTTACTTTACATGTTTAAACATTTAACCCACCTGTCTTTTAGACAGACAGACTGACAGACCAAGACAGATTTAAAGCCTATTTTGCCAAAGCCACTTGTGTCATTTACTTAAGTTTTCAAATAAATAAACATGGGTCTGTTTCTGGGTTGTCCATTACTTTTCACTGGTCTCTTGAATCTGCCATGAATCTGGAAACCAACAATGACATTGTAAGAAACTGCTAAAAACATAACCGGCAACTGCCTCTGAGGAATGGAATCAGAAGTGAAAAGGTTGTTTTATAATAGTAGGCTCCTTTGAACGAGCTGCATGAACATGTACGTATGATGCTGTTACAGAATAAAGAATTAAAATGTTTAGCATCAATAAATAAAAGATGCTTACAAGACAACAAATGTTGGAGAGGATGTGAAGAGGTGGGAACTCTTCATACGCTGCTGGTGGGATTGTAAAATGATACAACCACTCTGTAACACAGTTTGGCGCTTCCTCAAAAAGCTGAACACAGAAATTCCCTATGGCCCAGCTATTCCACTGCTTGAAATATACCCCAAGGAAATTAGAACTGAGTACATTAATGTTCATAGCAGTGTTATTCTCAAGAATATAGAAATAATCCAAATGTCCAACAACAAACTAATGAATTGAGAAACTGTGGTACATTCACATAATGGAATATTATGTAGCACACAGGAGAAACAATTTAGAAAAATACTGCATACCATAGGAGAGACTAGAGAGCATTAAGCTGAGTGAACTGAGTCTCATAAGAACAAATACTGTATCATTATTGTAAAAATAGAAGAATAACCAGTAAAACATGTCAAAAGATTGAAGGAGGGAAGGGGAAGGAGCAGCGGGGTGAGGATAGGCAAGGAAGAAATAATGGGATTGCACAATTTTGTGGGCAGAGGAAGAGGGTAAAGGAAATGGGAAAGATCCAGTGGGGACCTAAAAAGATGGTGGGCCTATATCAATGGTGATTCATTTTCTAAAACACAATATATGAGAATGATTGTATCAAACACAATGTGAATGGAGGAAAGTGTGAAAAACAATGTATACAAATTTTATAAGCAAATAAA